CGAAGGACGCGCGAGATCTCGATCTTTGCGGGGACCTGGTTCGTCTCTTTGCTTTGAATTTAGGTCGGAGAGATAATCTATCTTTCTCTCTCTCTACATATATATATATTTTTACATTTTTTAAAAACTTGTTTTATTAATTAACTTATTTTATCAATTTATTATTTTATTAAATTAAAGAGATTTCGTTTCTTTCGTTTTCGACATTGAAAGTCAAGGGGTCAATCATTGTATATTTCATTGGGAATATATTGCGGCAATACAGTAAATTTAATTTTAGAAAATACTTATTTAAAAAAATATGTATTGAAATAATACTAGTAATATAAAAAAAAGTAATATTGCACTAGAAATACTTGCACTAAAGATCTCGATCTTTGCGGAGACCTGGTTCATCTTTTTGCTTTGAATTTAGGTCGGAGAGATAATTTATCTTTCTCTCTCTCTATATATTTTTACATTTTTTAATAAGTTATTTTATTAAATTAAAGAGATTTCGTTTCTTTCGTTTTCGACATTGAAAGTCGAGAGATCAATGACTGGAGCAATCATTGTACATTTCATTAGGAATATATTGCGGCAATACAGTAAATATGATTTTAGGAAATATATTTTAGAAAATGTTTCAGAAAAATATGTATTGAAATAATACTAGCAATATAAGAAAAAAAGTAATATTGCACTAGAAATATTTTTTTATTTTACAATATTGACAATAAAATAATAACATTGACAGTAAAATTTAATATTAGGAACACCAACAATATACAAAATCATTATTAACAATACAAAAGCAATAAATGGCAATGTTAACAATAAAATGTACTGTATTTTTTGAATAGTAGTTGACCTCTCGTTGAAAGTCAATGGCATCAACTCTTCCATTGGCATTTTTAAATCCTTGTAAAATTGGAAAGGCACGAAACTACAAGGAGATATATATATAGATGGCTAAATTTTACGATCTTTATTATTTTATTTCGAGGAGAAGGAGAAACGATGTTTATAAAATTTAATTAGCGGTGATTCAAATGTCAAGTGAATGAATCAGGCGCTCCGTTAGAGTCACTGGCGTTTCGCATATAATCGCCGGAAATTTTTGACGCGAGAGTAGCGCATGTAGCGCGAAATGGGATTGCCAGTCAAGTGAATCGGCTCACGCACGTGCGCCCGCGCAGCCGATCGTGAAAGTGAACGCATGCACGCGCGAGCGAGCGACGCGACGCGACGCGACGCATGGTGGGCAGTAAGGTCGATGAAGGACGCCTTGTGGATGGATCTCGGGCACGACAGCTCTGCTATGTGCGAATCTCACGCCCGGCATGATCGAAATTGCGGATCAGCTCCAAGATCGATGGGACCGGTCTCGCCTTGAAATTTCGCTCGCTTCTCTCTCGGTTCGTAATATTTATCACACGGAATTTCTAAAAAAATAAATTTTGAAGATAGGTAAAAAGAAGGAAAATGTCTAACAAAAGTTTGTAATAATAAGTTGTTTTATTGTTTGATAGATTAATTTTTAGATTGAGAAGTCAAGTTTTGAAAAAGTGTTTTCAGAGAACGCGGATAATAAATTTTGCCCGTTCAAAATTTATGGATGTTTTGACAGTTCAACGTTCCACTTCGTAATGTCACCTAAGAACAGCCGTAATACATTCGATTGAAAGGTGATATCTTGAAATTAATCTCGAGAGTAGGTAAATCAATCTATAAATAACATAATAACTAGAAATAAACAAGGAAAAAATATGAGCGGTCCCATGGACATTAAAAGCTTCTACTTTGCGGTTTATCGCTTCGTCAACATGATTAAAGATTGACGGTCGATTGCGGTTTCTCTTTCACGAAAAAGCCACTATATAATTTCACTCAAAGAGAATATCTAGATATTAACGTTAGAAGAGTAGTTAATCGTGCAACCTCAATTTTTTATTACAAATTGAAGAAAAATTTCACCTTCTTTTTTCTCTTTTTTTAATTAAAAAAAATTTATTTATTTTTTTTTTTTAATTTTATGGACCTGAATGAAGAGGGCTAGAAAGAGTTACGGTTAAGCTTGGAGCTCTTTGAGCGACACTACGTGGGAGCGGTATACGTAATCGTGAGCTAGAAGGGCTCCGGGAAGGGCATTTCACTGGATCGAAGTCATCTCCACGTGCATCGCAGTGTTGCGTCATCGTCGTTTGTCGCGCACGATCAGAAAATTCTCCGGGCGAGATGGGCGGCCTCGTGTAATTGTCGCCGTTATTAATGGAGCGACATGGTGTCTCGTTACGAAATTTTATCCTATCGCTCTGCGTAGGTTGCACGCGTGTAGGCACGTCGTACTTGACAAAGGACGTTGACAACATATTGATGAAATAGCGACACTTTCCCCCTTGACGCTCCGATACTTCTCGACATTACTATTTTCATCATGGATTTCTCCTTGATATCGAGTGTAAAGTTATTGATATACTTGTTAAATTAACGATATTGATTACGTGTTATCACCGAGTTTATCGCGAATATGACACATTTTATCGTACTTCTTGAAAGTTTGAATCATATACACTCGATATTATTGGAAATGGTGGATCATTTCCATTTCCTCGAATTACTTTATTTTCATACTTTTTTTTAAATATTAAAATATACATGTTTTATATTTAATTATATTTAATTTTTTTAAATATTATATTTTTATTATATTTCTTATTAACTTTTTTATTATCCTAATGATTTCCGTCAAAAGATTAATATTGATTTTCATATTTATTTTAGAAATTAAAATATATGCGTTTTATATTTAATTTTTCTATTATTAATTTTATGCAGCAACTACTTTGTTATGCTATTAGAATCCCAACGATTTCCGTCAAAAAGATTAATATTGATTAGTGAGATTTGAAAATATTAATATCTAAAATTATCGGTAGCTTTCGGTAAGCGACAGTAAACATCGACATTTGTTTCAATATCGATGTCTCGATATAGTCTTCGCAATCCTATTCGGGGCACGCTATGGCTGCTCGTGCATGTGTATGTGTGCATGCATGCAGTTTCATCGGGATGCGTAATGCGCGCAGGTGCATACAGGTATCGGCCGATGCGTATAAAAGAGAACGGTATAGTTGCACTGATGGGCCATGAGGGGGAGGGGGGAGGAGGATGAGAAAGAGAGAGAGGGGACGCGCGATTCTAGTCACATGCCGGAAAATGTCAACCACGTGCAGGTACACGAGGCGCTGCTCGCCTATAATCCCACCCTGATATAAGTAAAACGCGCCGTTGTTGTCTCGTAAAAAAGTACGATAAAAAAAAGCTCCCAGCTGTGCGTTACGCAATTCACGTGGCGCACCTCGCGGAGAAAACTACAGCCCACGTTTTTTTTCTTACTTTTTTTCTCCAATTTCTTGTGCGCTTCGATTCATTCTGGATCCGGATCTCGTCAATCTTAGTAAGCGTTTTTATTCGCGCAAATTATATTTATAGAAATGTTACGTGTGGAATTAGTTTCGAAAATTTAATCCGGAATTTCTACACTTTACCATCTTTTTTCTTATTTTTTCTTTTTTTTTCATTTCTGCTGTAAATCGTAAAAATTTCGCAAAAATTCTTCAATCTTCTTCGTGACGGACATTCTCGTGTCGCGGGATATGATATCGACAGCTTCATCCTTGAACTTTCGTTCACGCGAGCGCGAGTGATTGCGTTCGATAAATGCAATAATAAGTGAGCTCGTTATTGTTGTACAATAAAATCGCCGAGAGAATTTTGCAAGATAATAGAGAAATGCGATAATCTAAAATATTAAGTTTAGCAAAATAGAATTTACATCGCATTCCAGGTTGTTCCTTTTAATTTTGCTTATCTTTCAACGTGATATATAATATTTCTAATTATAGAATATAAATTTCCTGATCTTTAACCGCAAAAATAGGTCTTACTCTTCAGAGCATATTTGTGACCTTTCAGGAATTTCAATAGACTGATTTGATTAGCTTCCAATTCAATCGCGTTAAACATTCATGTAGTCGTTACATTATGTATTTGAAGCTATAATTCAAAGGATATGAAAAATGATGACGTGCTCGCGCTTTCTTTTTCAATCTAATTAACGAAAATGCTCGCTGACGTAAGCATTTATTATAACTCGATATATTAAAAATACCCAGATTTTATTCGTATCGGCAGGAAGAATCTACTTTAATATCATATGTAATGGGAACGATTGTCGACCGCGTTGTCACGTGTCTCTACCAGCTCTCCTATACATAAGTTATTAGCAACGAATGAGACCCGATTTCTGATGGCTTATTAGCGAATTACCGATGCCGGCGACCTTCCGATTGCCTCCTCAAAGTTACGGCGTATTCGTGTCACTCACGGCATGTGAGGAACGACGGAACTCCTTTTAGTTCGTTAAAAATTCACGCCAAACACCGGACAATCCCTCGTCGACCGGCCGACGACGATGGGAAAAACGGTGTCGTCTGCAAGTTTCATAAGCAGCGATATTGCCGGGCTTATCAATAATTGAGCCGGTGCCTCGTGCTTCTCCCGTTCACTTTATTTGCAGCGGAAAATCTATAACGGGGCAAGGGACGTGCACAAGGTTATTGACTGAAACATATTCGTGTCGCGTCGTTACGTAAGCTTCGTGCGACGTTAAGCTGCATTTAACCTCTTGATAGCGTCATCGCCAGCACGCGTCTACGTTTTCCTCCTTAAACATTAATCGTCTTCTTCCTTGCGGCGCAAAAGCGGAAAGCTTTCAAAAAAATTCCACTTTGTAATTAATATAAAATATAACTTGCAAGATTGCGATGATTATACTCATCGGATGAAGAAGAGGAGAGTTATTTGGGATATTTTATACGTGCGAAAATCACATTTTTTTCACCACTCGAATCTTTCCAAAGACGAAGGACAAGTTTCTATTTTTAAGCAGCGACCATGTCGCGTTTTTGGATCAATACATGAATAATTAATCATGAGTTCTGCTATTTTTTTTTCAGTCTGGATGGTAGCTCCTGCAAGGACGAGATATACGGCATGGGCATAGGAGCTGGATATTGCGAGGGCAATCTGAACTTCGCCACGGCCTCGGAGGATGACGAGGTTTATACCAAGAAGAAGGTCTCCAGGGTGAGTCACGAGCTCATTTGCACACGATCAGTTCCATAATAAGCACTTTGCCAATCGGCGAAATATTAAGTAATGGCACGGTGACGTTACTCTGTGCCTGTCACACGTCGGATATCTGTATATCGGCTCTTTTTTACTGCGTTTCGCAACATTTGCTTAAATGAAAACGAACAAATGTCTTCGTTCCGAGAAAATTATTTGCGAAGGTGCAATCTTAGATCTAGGCAAATATTGCGCACGAATAAAAAAGAACTAATTATAATTTTGTTATTAACTTTGACGTCATATTCGCTAATTTGGTTTTCAAATAATACATCTATTTAAAAAAAAATGTAAAAACTTGCAAATTAAGAAAATGTATGCCATTATTTAATATTTAAAATGCATTGTTTAAGAACTGTTTTTGTTTTTATTTCTGTATAAATGCAAATTGTCGTATAAATTGTTATATAACAATATGCAGCTTTCTCTTTGCAAATGTGAAACGATGTATCTTAGAACGTTTTTCGTACCAATTTAATCTTTCGCGATTTTACTTTTCCGTTTTCGATTCGTGACAGATTTGGAAGATTCCTTCCGAAATCGGAGTAGGTGAGAAACCGCGGATTATCTAGGCTATCGTGCCGCGAAGAAAGCTTTTCCGTGTTGTTGAACCAGCAATGACGCAACAATGTGTCGCGAGGTAGCTACGTCATGTCCCGAAAACGATGATTGTGACACAGTGATGACGCGAAATTGCGTCGAGTATGCTAAATTTTTATCGGGGACTGTCGGTGAATGAATCCACATTCGATCCTCGCGATCGTTTCTGTGAATGTCGAAATTTCGACACGTTTTTACGTAGATATTTATAATTGCGAAAAGAAGAAATTTTTTGACAATGCATATCCCACTGATGTGCTAGGAACTTGTTGCATTATCAACATTGTATTTATAGTCTGCGTTTTTCGAAATAGCGATAAATGGGAGCAACGCAATTAATGGCTGACGCGATGCTTGTAATAAACGTTTTTAATATAAATAGGTCATTTCGTGTTAAATGCTATTTCCACTCTAGGTAACAACAGCTATTATTGCAACGTATATGCAAAAAGCTTGTTAGTAAAAATTATAGATATTAGTAAATTATAAATTTTATTTTTAGAATATTAGAAAAAAATAGAACTTTATGATATCTCTTTGCTCTAATAAATCGAAAGTTTAATTAAAATTTCACGCGTCGTTTTTGCCGCTCTAACGGACAACCGGATTTGCTCGCAAAAAGACCTTCCGGTTGTTCGTGCGGATCTTTCGAGACTTTATCCGATCGGGAATCCGTTCGCTAAATTTCTCCTCTTTCTTTCAAGTGTGTCGTAATCGTCGCTCTCTTAAGTTAAGAGGCTCCTTGTTCAGGAAATGACTTGGAAACATGACGAGGTGTCTTCTCGAGATGCTTCGATGATTACACGCAGGTCTGGATTAGAAAGGAATGTTCCGTCTCTCTTCCTTGACGTATCACTCGCGACAATCAGGAGAAAGCAGCGTGTCCCGCCAATAGGATTCGCGGATGGGAGTGATTGACGTTATTATTTTTTGCCCATCGCGCGATACTCGTATACCTCGATTCTCAGCGAAAGAATCTGTCGATTTCGAGAATCGATTTAATGAATCCGAACAAGTAATTCATTTTTACTGGATGAAAGCAACATTATCGATTTTCGAGATTGTGTCTGTGAAAGCGCGAAGGATTTCGCATCAAGATGACAGCATTAATATCCTTCGAGGAAAGACGGGGGACGAGAAATTTTCGCGTTTTTATCCATCCTTGCGTAATACGCGACGAATCTTCGAGTGACGCAATTGCCGTCAATCTCTCTCTCTCTCTCTCTCTTTTTTTCATCGGCCATTTATCACTCGCGAAATTGCACACATCGGGATTACAAAAGTTCAATCGCGTTACCGGTTAAAGCGTGCCTAATTCGCGTTGCGTTGGCAAATTATGTAAAGCAACGGTATCTAGCGCAACGAACGGGGATCTCTCGCAGCGCTCTTTGCCTCTGCGAATTCATCCGGGAATTCGAGAGTACGTCCTTACGTCGATCCGCGGCCTTAAATCTGCTCTACGTGACGAAAGAGAAGACGTGTCGGGGCGCTTTCACGCGCACGCAACGTGCCGAAACGCGTGTCTCGCCGCTACCAAAGTACGACGACTGTGCCTCGTTGTCATACGGATGGACGATTTATTCCCGGGAATACCAGAGTCGTTTTCTCGCTCATTATTAGTTGAATCAGGATCCGTGCACGATTATACTCGCTCGACGTAACAACGTGAAAAAATTTCGTTGCCTCATTAGAAGCAAGAAAAAGAATTGGATTTTTGCTTTCAAAAATATCGAATTTTTTTCTAACACATATACAACACACATTTTTATACTTTATTATTAAACAATTAATATAATAATAATAATAATAATAATAATAATGATAATAATAATCATAATAATAATCATAATGATAATAATGATGATAATAATAATACTAATGATAATAATTATAATAATAACAATAATAATGATACTGATAATAACTGATAGTGATAATGATGATAATGATGATAATGATAATAATAATAATAATAATAATAATAATAAATATATTAATAATGATAAATATAATAATAATAATAGAGAGCAAAGTAAAATTTTTAATTTATACATTTTGCACATTCGTGTACACTTCATTATTTCTCGTTATGCGTTTCATTCGATAATGAGTAGTGCATTCTAGCGTTCAAGGATGGGCATCCTGGCATCGGTGTTACAAGAGCTTAGATAGCCTCGGTCCGTTCTACTTGAGGTCACTTTGTCTCTTTCGCTCCTTCACCGCGATCTACACGTGGCAGGCGAGATAATTCGAGTCACGCGCTTCTCCACGTCACTTTCTGGAACCGTTGTCGAGTTGCGGTGAGCTTCGTGCGGCGGTGAGTTTCGAAAGATGTCTAGACTGATAGCACCCTATCGTGTTTAATGATTCCCCGATATGTGCAGGGTGTGTGCAGGGTGTATTTAAAAAAAAATGCTGGAAGAGAGATATATTATTTAACGAGAGACAATTCAGATGTCATATATTCCATTTTAAAGGAGAGATGTCGTAAAAATTATACTCTAAGTAAAATGGTTCTACGTGAATTAGAGACGAATTTTATCAATATTTTTGTCAATAATGTAAGAAGTGAATAATTTATTTTATATTTATTTCACGTGGTATTGTTTTAATATTGAGTCGATTGTAGATAATCGATGTGAAATCAATATTATTGATAAGAATGTTAATAAAAATATTCTGAAAATTATATTTAAATTTGATTATAACCATTTGAACATGATTTTGTACATTATAAAAATTAAGGTAATTTTTATAAAAAAAAATATCTTTTATTTAATATATCTTTATTAAGGTGACACACTTTGCATAATTTCTGATAATTTGCATAATTTCTGATAAGCATAAAAGGCATCGCTCGCGTCGATCGTGATTCATTTGTGAAAAACGCTCAAGGCGTTTATGCCTGCGCGCATCCTCCACCCTCGTTTATTTCCATAAAATATCATCAAGTCGGCATCACGTGGCGAGGACATTCATGGAAACGAGTGACGTGACCAGAAAACTACTTGTGGAAAACGATCGAGCCGTGACGACGATCGCACGCGACCCAAATAACGCTCGCAGCGGCGTCACATGCAAGGGACGACCTGGGCGTAACTCGTTTAACGCGCACAATGTTGCATCTCGAGTTCCGAAACTCCATTTTCAAAGTCAAGAGCAAAACTTGGAGAAAAAAAGATGACAGATATTTTACGCCAAAAGTGCATATAAAATAATATAATAAAAAACTAATATAATTATTTAATAAAAAATACATATTTAATATTCTTAAAATATCTTAATATCGCTAATAGAAAAATCTAAGGATCATTGGAAAATAATATAATCGACCAAAACTAGCCAAATTTCTTGTTTAATTTTTTAAATAAGTAAACAAGAAATTTGGCTAGTTTTGGTCGATTATATTATTTTCCATTGATCCTTTACATATTTAATATGTTTCTCGGAAGCGCGGATTTTTTCAGAGACATCATATTCTTCGCTTTTTTAATACTTGGCTTTTTAAGATGCTCAACCTTGAAGCTCGAGATACAAGTGATAAATATGTCATTTCTAATTGAATATTTTTTCTTATAACGATCGGCGATGCGGCAAACGTTGAAAATACGGAGTCGTTGATCCAAATGGCAAACGTGCCAAAATTAGAGTACGCGCGCACACATTTGCCGTAACAGTTAGGTCTTCCAAGTTAAATTTGTCGCGCGGGCCACATTTAATTTCGAGCTATATTGAGTGACGGCAGTCTTGCGAAAATCGAGCGGCGATCGTTCACGCGCGCGCAACGATATCCCGACGTACATACATCTCGCGAGTGGGGCGAGTTAACGAGTATTGTGATTTCTTTTTTATCGAAATTAAAAATAACGATGTGTTTTGTCAATTTGCCGATAAGTTTTTTTCCACGCTATCTCTTTACGGCTCCTAATCTCGTGAAATTGTTCGCGATAAAATCATAACACGCCTGATAACGCTTAAACATTATGTTGCAAAATAACTTTGGCACAAGAGAAAAAGAGAGAGAGAGCAAGATTATTACACATGTATATTATAGAGTTCAAACTCTTCGTTTGGCAGACGTTGCATCTGACAGTGAATAAAAAAAATTCCTCGGATACTTTAGGCGGATAGACGTAAAGGGGATGGAAGAAAAGTGCTCCGATTGCAGACAGAAATTAAAAAGGAAGTTACTATCGACGCGCGTTTTATCATGCGACGCGATCTCGTCTGGAAGAAGATTCCCTCGTGCAATTTTCGATCGAGCAATAAGGTCGCGTTTTTCATGTAGGCCGGGTTTCACGTGCCATCGAGCGGGCGGAATTACCGCGTGACTCAACGCGTGCCGGCGATACGCATTT